AGTGGACACGACTGTTTCCTCAGGCTTTGGCGGTGTCCAATGGGCAAACGGGGCTCATAACCGAAGAGAAGGTAACCCGTATAGAGTTGGGAACTCGATAAATAACCTAACAATATGCACTATGAAATGTCGGAAGGTAAACAAAATTTACCCCAGGAGGGTACGGCAGGTCGCCGGGAATCCCTCCCTACTCAGGTAGGCTGCCCCACGGATTCTGGGGGGGGCAACATTCCGAGAAAAGGTGCTCAAGCAGAGCGTAGATCGTCAGCTTCAGTCATTGACCTGAAATGGGACGAGTCAAAGGCAAGTAGTATGAAAAAAACGGGACAAACACTATCACAATCCCAAACCCCGCAAAGAAAGAGAAAACTGCTGGATACCTCGATCCACAAAGGAGAAGACCAGATTTACAAAAAAAGGGAAAGCCCAGAATACTTCACTCTCGTGGAATCACTGGAGAGTATAACAAAGCTAGCAAATGACCTGGAAGGCTATGTTGAACAAAACACCAAGAGGGAAATAAAGGAGATAGCAAGAAGGCTTAAGAGACAAGTCAATGTTATAAATCAACCATACGTCACACAGTGGCTCAACCAGTTTAAATACGAGAGAATAGAAAAAATGACTATAGACGTGGACACACAGACCAGCCCTAAAGCTGAAGAGTTGAAAATGAAAATCACACAGGCAGAGGAATCATCGTATAAAGAAAGCCTGGTCGGCGAAGTCTCCGTTACGGAAACGGGCCAAATATGTCCAACATGTAAAAGGAAATACGTCGAGAGTAAGGACACCCAAACTCAAACCGACCAACAAATATATTTCGATGAAAACAGGTGTAATTCACTAAAGGATATAGATTCCTACGCGAAATGGCTAAAGATTGCGCCCAAAAATTGGGCTGACGAGCTTTTCGAAAACACGGAAATAGTTTCTGGAAATCCTCTATCGACCAAAGTTTCTACAGTCAAAGTAGTACTCGTTGAACCCACGGATAAACAGATGGAGAGGAGTATACAGCTGCTATACAAAAACAGGTATCCGGAACTAGTAGAGACAGAAGAGTCCTTTGCTGTTCTGGAACACAGCTCAAGATGGAAGCTCAAGCAAGACACGACAGCATGCCAGAAAGTAATAAAAATCATGCAAGGTGAGCAAGAGTC